TTGGGTCTTCAATTTTGTTCCATTGGTCTATGGGTCTATTTTTGTGCCATATTGTTTTTATGACTATAGTTCTGTAATACAGCTTGAAATCTGATATAGTAATCCCCCCAGCATTGCTCTTAGTGCTTAGGGTTGTTTTGGCTATCTGAGGTCTTTTGTGCTTCCATATGAATCTTAGGATAGTTTTTTTCCAATTCTGTGAAAAATGTCGTGGGGATTTTGATTGGCATTACATTCAATCTATATATGACTTTTGGTAGGATGGCCATTTTCACAATATTAACTCTTCCAATCCATGAGCATGTGAGGTCCTTCCATCATCTGATGTCTTCCTCAATTTCTTCCTTTAATGATTTAAAATTTTCATTGTAGAGATCTTTAATGTCTTTGGTTGGGTTTATTCTGAGATTTTTTTTTTTTTACAGCTATTGTAAGGGGAGTGTTTCCATGTGCTCTTTCTCTGATTGTTATTGGTATATAGAAAGGCTATAGACTTTTGTAGGTTAATTTTGTAACCTGCCACTTTATTGAACATGTTAATAATTTCTAGGAGTTTTTGGGTAGAATATTTGGCATCCCTTAGATATAATATCATATCATCTATAAAAATGGATAATTTGATCTCTTCTTTTCCAATTATTGCTCCTTTAATTTCCTGCTCTTGCAAGAGTTTCAAGCACTATGTTAAAGAGAAGTGGGGATAGTGGACAGCCTCATCTGGTTCCTGATTTCAATGGGAATGCTTCCAGTTTTTCTCCATCTAGAATGATGTTGGCTGTGGGTTTGTTATATATGGCTTTAATTACATTGAGGTATGTTCCCTCCAGTCCAATTCCCTCTAGGACTTTGAACATAAATGCATGTTGAATTTTGTCAAAGGTCTTCTCTGCATCTATTGAGATGACCATGTGGTTCTTGTCTTTGAGGCCATTTGTATGATTTATGATGCTTATTGACTTATGTATATTGAAACATCCCTGCATCTCTGGGATAAAGACAACTTGATCATGGTGGATGATCTTTTTGATGTGTGTCTGTATGCAGTTTGCAAGTATCATTTTGAGAATTTTTGCATCTTGTTCATTAAGGATATGGGTCTATAGTTTCCTTTTTTGGTTGTATCTTTACCTGGCTTTGGTATTAGAATGATGCTGGCTTCATAGAAGGAATTTGGAAGCTCTCCCTCCATTTCTATTTTTTTGAATAAATTAAGTAGTATTGGATGCAGATCTTCTTTAAACATCTGATAGAATTCTTCTGTAAATCCATCTGGTCCTGCGATTTTGTAGTTGGGAGGTTTTGTATTACTGTTTCAATTTCTTTTTGTTATGGGTCTGTTTAAGCTCTTAATCTCTTCTTGGTTTAGTTGTGGTGGCTCCCATGCCTTTATAGATCCATCCCTTTCTTTAGGTTTTGAAATTTTATAGCATATAAGTTTTTAAAGTATTCCCTTATAATGTTCTGTATCTTTCTGGTGTCTGTTGTGATATTTCCCCTTCCATCTATGATTTTGTTTTTGTAAGATTTGGAGGTGCTCTTTCTTTCTTTGGGTTAACTGGGCTAGCGGTCTGTCAATCTTGTTTATCTTTTCAAAGAACCAGCTCTTGGAATTGTTGATTCTCTGTATTCTTTTCTTTGTTTCAATTTCATTAATTTCTCCCGATTTTTGTTATTTCTTCTTGTCTGCTGGGTTTGGGTTTCATTATCTGTTGCTTTTCAAGCATGTTGCGTTGCAATATTAAGTCATCTATTTGAGTTCTTTCCAATTTTTTGATGTAGGCACTTAGAGCTATAAACTTCCCTCTTAGGACCGCTTCTAGTGTGTCCCAGAGGTTTTGTCGTGTTGTATTGTCTTTTTCATTTAATTCCAAAGAATACTTTTATTTCTTTCTTAATTTCTCTTTTGACCCATTCATCATTCAGGAGTGTGTTGTTTAATCTCCATGTGTTCATGTAGTGATTGGGACTTCTTTGGGTGTTGACTGTAAGCTTTATTGCATTGTGGTCTGATAGAATGCATGGAGTTATTTCAGTCTTTTTGTATTTGTTGAGGTTTATTTTGTTCCCCAGTATATGGTCGATTTTGGAAGATGTTCCATGGGGTGCTGAGTAGAAAGTATGTCCTTTGGTGCTTGGGTGGAATACTCGGCAGATGTCTGATATATGGTATTGTTTAATTCAGATGTCTCTCTGTTAACCCTCTGCCCTGTCTAATGGAGACAGTGGGGTAATGAAGTCCCCTACTATTAATAGTTGGGGTTGATCTGGGTCTTAAAGTCCTGTAATATTGTTTTTGTGAAGTTGGGTACACCAGAGTTTGGTGAATATACATTCATGACTGTAATATCTTCTTGATTCATTGTTCCTTTGATCAAAATGAAGTGGCCCTCTTTGTCTCTTCTGATTAGTTTTAGTTTAAAGTCTGTTTTGTCAGATATTAGAATTGCTACACCTGCTTTTTTCTTAGTGCCATTTGCTTGGTATATTTTTTTCCATCCTTTCACTTTGAGATAGTGTCTGTCCTTGAAAGTGAGATGAGTTTCTTGC